CAGTGCCTAGCATCTAATGGTGGGACGCTTGCGTCAGGCAGTGACCACCGACCCCCCCCCCCCGAGCTTATTTCCAATGTGCAAATCATTCCGCACAGTTACTGCAACGTATGTAGGTATGTAGGTATATCATTAAATATGGTACTGCTTACCCATGGGGCTTTTTGCTCACGAGCTCTTTGGTTTCGGTTTGTTTTCTGATCGATGGCTGCCTGTTTTTTATGCAATTGGATATTTATGATTAGATTGAATGTTCTTCATATTCATCAAATTTAAATCCCATCACAATTATTATTAGTTGAGAGAAAACTTTATTATCTTTGCTCGCCCAAACGCAGCTCGGCCCTGGCTTCTGCTATCTCTGTTAACAGCTGACAGGTGTCGCCCTGATCAACAATGTAGGTGGCGCGCGGAGCGTGCTCAGTCCCGACCGGACAGCAGATGGGCAGAGCTCCGGAGGTGAGGGCGAGGGGGGAGTGTGGCGGGGAGAGGTGGCACGTGCCCGTGCAAGATTGGGCGATCAACTCTGTCACTTGCTGCTGTGAGGTCAGCGCTAGAAAGTTTTGAAGCTGATTGAGGCAATCGTGGCTAAAACGATTTTAGGACTGGCTAAAACAGTGCTCTCTACAAAAAATAAAAACAACGTTTTAGGCTATAGGTACGGTAGACCCAGAGCCTCAGCCGCTGCACATATACCTACGGCTGCACTGTCAGCCCACTCCCCAAACTATTAAGTTATGGAAGTGCCCGACCCTGTCCACTTTTGGTTGCATTGAATACGGAATCATTGTTTGATTTGTTTGATCCAGGCTGACTCGTTTCAATAATTCCCCATTCTGTTCCGAATTATATTACAATATTTCATTTTTTACAGACGACATCCACCGAAATAAGGATCATCATTCTATGTGAACTTTTCAACTCATTTCAAGTCCAGGGGTGCTTTTGATGGTGATAGCCATAGGGCGCTCGTCGCTCGAGTATCCTCAAAACTACTAATTCTCCATTTTTGTTTTCCGCATGGCTTCCATCTGCCTTCCCCTACCAGCTCATAGGTATGTAGGTATTTGCCGAATATGCCTTAATTGTTACTTTACTTACCCTGCCTGGGCGGGGAGGGGAAGTTGATGCTGAACCCTGACGGCGATTCCGCCGATTGCGACTGCCTTTTTCCTTTAGTTTTCGGAAATAGTCGATGTGCGCAGTTTCACCTCTGCTCCATCACGACGAGGCTGGCTGGGAGTTGAGACCTTATCGGGGCGCTGGTTATCCATTTCGGCAAATAAATACGTCGAAAATCAAAGCGGGACTCTCATGCTATCTGAGCTAAAAGTTGCACGAGCTTGAAGGTGCACCTAGAGAAACAGATAGCATGTTTGCATATGGTCTAGAATCAATATTGGTTTAAACACTCAGTATGACATTAGCACAGGAAACAGCTCAAGTTTGCAGTGTGCTTGGATTGACGATAGTGCAAGCCTGTCGGCTTAAAATAAGCTTATTATGCTTTTTCGGAGACTGAGAGCAGGATAAGTGGCAAAAGTACCTATTGCACAAAGCGGTTGATACAATGATACATAGCTCATTGGTAGCTGAAGCATTACATTCAAACCCGTAGAAAACTAATGATTGCCCAAGTATGTTCAATTACGTAGCCATAGGTGCGGCGGCGTGGCCGGCGAGGGGGGGGGGGGAGGGGGCAGTGGGGGTGGCGTCAAATTCACAAATTCGGAGCCGTGATGGCTAACTATTGTTTATTTTGCTTAGTAGCTTTGGCAGACCTAGAGATTCTGTATGACGTTGATGATCATGAATAGCATGGATCGATTAACCCGCACATTCCCGTTCTCCGGCAATATCCTCCAAACCACTTTACGTATTGAGACGAAAGTTTCGGTTCCTTCAGCGGCATCAATTTGACACCGTGACACCTTGTGTTAACCCTCGCCCTGGCAGGGCATTTTTCATAACACGGCCTGGCAGGGGGGGGGGGGTCGATACGACCCCCCCTCGCGATTGGCTCCTATGGCACCTAGAAACACCAAATTTGGTAGGTAGGTGGACCCCTGGAGTTCTCGCTCTTGTGCAAATTTGGTTGCTCTAGGTCAATGTTTAGGGGGTTTTTGGGGGGTATAAATGCAAAAATTTCGCTAAAAACAGGTCAAAAGTTTTTCGCTTATAACTTTTGATCTAATTAAGATAGAGCAAAAAGAAAAGCACCAGTGAACTCAGCACGTCAAGGCGCGTCGAATGTTATACTTTGTAACTTGCTTAAGTGTACTTAAAGTTTTTCTTAAATTTTAAGTAAACTTAAATTGATAAATTAATTTAAAGTTAACCAAATTGCATCATATCGCATATCATTCGATTCGGCTGATCACCAGGAACACAATGGTACCATTTTTTAAGCTCTAGCGTCATTATGTGCCAAGTTATTGGCAAAAAACGTCATTTGACCTCAATTGACCTCATTTGACCTGACCCATGGATAAGTACACCAAACAAAGAAGCACCAAGTGACCTGCTGTTAAGTACTGTGGTTTCAAAACACAAAAGTGATAGAACGAAGCGGATATCTCCAGTATTTTTCGAATTTAGTATTTTCCCATAGGCTTAACATTACGACGTAATGACCTCTAACTGACCTCAGGTCAGCGACCTAAAAAAACTCGAACTATATGTTATACAACTCGGTGAACTTAGCACATCCTGAAAGTTTGAAGGAAATCAGTCCAAAACTGTGAGTTGGACAGGTGCAAAAAGAAAATTGAAAATTGACCATGACCTTGTACCGGTTTTTCTGACCTGGTGATCTGACCCAAGGTCACCCGGACCTTAAATTTTCAGGTCATATGTAAAAAGGTTGCCCCATAGGCTGTGCCAAATTTGGCGGCGCTGCGCGCCGCCGTTTTTACGCTATCCTCGAAAAACCTTAGGGGGGGGGGTCGCATCGACCCCCCTGCCAGGGCGAGGGTTAAAGTTTCAACTTTCTAGCTACCATATGTCGGCCGAAAATGACGTCAGAGTGACGTCATGTCGGCTGATTTAGTGCAAAACTTTGAACTACGGCAATCGCTCTCAAGACAAGTATATTGGTATATATTGTCGCAAGTATATTGATTAAAAATAAAGAATAACAAAGACCCGACACGTCCCTTTGGATGAATCTGCGCGGGGACCTTTTACGCCCCCCCTCCCTCCCTCCTCCTCTGACAATTATTTTAGACACAGATTTAAGATATCCCGAGCGCCGGAGCGCGAAGTTTCATTGCCTTCTCCTTGGTTGTAACCATCCTGTTGAAATCTTCTCAAACAGAACAGTTTGGCCTCGCCCCTGAGGAATGACACTGCATTGCTGTTTTTTTTTATCATGCTTCATTCAAAGGTCAGGTACGTACATCATCTTTCATCTCTCTATTTGTACTACTTAGGAATCAGGAGGAACCTGCTAGCCCGGCAGGCGGTGGGCCTACCAGCCACCTTCCGCGCGGTGGGGGGGGGGGGGCACTTTTTTGCCCCCCCCCCCCCGTATCTCCGAAACTACTGGACGGATCCGGAAAATTCAAACGGTGTTCGATAGCCCTGTCAAATTTGTCGAGGGAAACCAATTTTCATTGACCTCGGGGTCACCGATGACGTCACAGGTCAGGTCAAAGATAAAATGTTTCACCGTTCACGGGGCTTCTAGGGAAAGCGCTATAACACCGAGTAAAACGCATTTTGTCGAAAATCAGCGATAAGGCGTCAGTTGTCTTGTACATATGTTGCTATTAGAGGTCACTGGTCATACCAGGTCAGTTCACAGGTCAGGTCACCAAAGGTCACCAAGGGTCACCATATGAGCCCAACTTTACTAAGGTTATGCGATGCATGTTTTATGGTCAGTTTTTCATTTCCAACTCAATGGTGTTGGTTATAAGACCATCAGGTACGGTTTAGGTCACTTTCTGGTGGAGGTCAGGTCAAGGTCAGGTCAAAAAAGGTCAAATTTCAAAGTTGATATTTTTGCATAAAATGGGTATCGATTCGATGCAGCTCGTCACGGGGAGTCTAATGGTGGTCTTTGTTTTGCGCTACGAGGTCTAGAATTGCTAAAAAATTGAGTTTGAAAATTTGACGTCATCAATTTTGAACAGTTTTTTCGCTATAACTTGGCCAAAAAAAAGAGATATCGATCTCAAATTTGGTATGTAGATAGAAGGGGGTAGGGGCTATCACATACATTCCGGTTTTTTCGAAATTCAAAAAACTTTTTGGATTTTTTGGCTATTATATTCAAAAAATCTATTTTTTGATTTTTGGGGGTCAAAATCCAAAAAACTCGAAAAACCGAAATTGCAGTTTTATAGTCCTTTTAATTCGACACCTTTTATGTATGAAACATTTTTCTGTATCTCTAAAGCTGTAGGCCTGACAGCTCTTCCCGCAAAACTTTTTTTTGGGTCGAAAATGGCAAAAATGACTTCACTCTGACGTCATTAGCGGCCAACCTATCATAGCCTTTGGAAAAAATTTTTGGTCACCATGTGCGCTAGCTGCTCCCGGGAGGGTACTGAAAGTTTGGTGACGATCGGCGCAGCGGTTCTCGAGATATATCGAAAAAACTAAAGGGGGGCAAAAAAATGCCCCCCCCCCCCCACCGCCTGGAAGGCTAGGCGATGAAGGCAGTCACTTTCAGACCGATGTCCTGCTCCATGACAACTACTTCGTTCGATTGTAATTGCAACGTACTAACGCATGACGGGATAGCGCAACACGTGAATCAGTGTCATCGATCAACAGCGGATGAAGACGTGACTGAAGAGACAACCGCTTGGTCTCTCCGCGTCACTAACCTAAGGCCGGGCATAATATCTAAAATTGAGTTTTAAGTGAACCATATGCGTAGCATTTGATCCCCTCAAGTATATACCTACTGATCTAGTCATGATGATAGGATACCCCCCCCCCCCCCCATCTCTTCATAGGCATTTAATGACTATGGCCCTTTAACGCACGCTATCTCCATTCTTATGCACCAAACTGTACATATTTCAGTAATGTCATTCAAGTTTCCCCACATATTTAGCCTGAGTCAAGATGAGCTTTCCTCGTCAAGGTCGCGAGGTTCGTGACACAGGTCCTCCACGGACCAAAGTTTCGACAAGTGCAGTGGCTTCGGCCGATCACCGTAATGCAGCCGGTGGCACAGATTACACATGGGGCGGGGATACTGCAGCTTGTGGGAGCTACGCCATGCATGGTACTCCTCATACGCCGTCCGATTGCGAGACAGCTCCAGCAGATGGGCGGCCAGAGCCTTGGGCCCGGCGAACTCCTCCACGTGGATGAAGGAGTTGGGCGGTGCCACGCGGTGGTAGGACTGCGGCGACGGGCCGCGCACCACCGGCACCATGCCGGCCTGCAGCGCCAGCCAGAACTTCTCTGTGATGTAGTCGTCGCAGAGGGAGTTCTCGAAGGACAGGTAGAAGAGGTGCGTCTCGGCCAGGTGTCGGTAGCAGTCGGTTATGTGCTCAGGACACCGCCGCTCGCCGCACTTGCCGAATGTGTCCACTGCGATGTGGTGGCGTAGCTGGGCGACGTACTGCTCCCTCTTACACACGGTTTTACAGTGGGACACCATCCAGGCCACTGGCCGCACCCTGCAGCGACGGTGGGGGGGGGGGGGGTCAGATCGGTCAAACATGTGGGAGTAACAGCGGAAGGCTACTGTTTATATCCCTGATACAGAAATGCTAATATGTTTATCCATAGACCTCTGTATACATACATATACTCTGTATACTCTGTATACTCTGTGTATCATACGAGGGGGTATCGTAAAGTTCTGATCATCACCATGAATTAGATGTGATAGAATTTTGATTTTTTTATACATGATGTTCATTACTCCTTTACAAGTCACCACACACGACCGCAAACTTATTGTATCGTTTCTTGAGCTGCCTCAGGCGGTCATTGTAGGACCCTCGCGCTGTCCCGTAAATCACTGCTCCACCTGATCAATGACGTCATTTCTGTCCTTAAATCACCGGCCATACTGTGGATTCTTCATCTCCCGTAACAATCAAGAGTCAGTTAATACCCGGTCAGGCGAATTTCTTAGATGCGGTAGGATTTAATGTCCACATCATGTTGTTTCTTCAATCGCAGCTCAGGACGACTGGGCGGGGACGCTGTCAGTGCGGATAAAACATCTTTCTTGGGCTTTTTTGAGGCGATTCTGCTTGAGGCCACCTCACAACTTCTTGAAAAGTGTGCAGTAGTGCTTGCTTATCATTATCCGACCATCATCAAGACAGTCGGTAATGACTATCCTACGCCAGATCCAGAACACTGATAGCATTGACCTTCCATATCGGCTTCTGCATCTTCGCCTTTTAAGAAGGACAGATGTGCCGTGCTTAAACTTCTTGATCGTCTTTTTGTCTCTGGATCATATAAATAGATCCAGCATTTGTCACAAGTCATCAAATGATCGAAGATGTCTTCTATTTCCTAAAAAAAAGACCTAGTTTTCATTTCGAAAGGCCAAGACGCATTTTTCTCTTGAACAAAGTAGAAACACGAAATTGTAAGCGGGCTGACTCCTTTATCGTCTGTAGTTCTTCGCTGATAATATCCTCAGGCACTGCCAGCATTGAAACCTTTCTATTGCACAATCATCTGAAAGGTCACACGACGATCTGTAAGGATGAGGTCCTCCACTTCCTTCACAGTCACCACCTTGTCAGTCACTGGTAGTCACTCACTTCTTGACTCCCCTGCAAGGGCCATGCAACCAAGTAGAAAATCATTTCTTCATTTTCGGTAAGTGCATGAGATGGGCTTTCCTCGCCATAAACTAATTTCACGTTCTTGATGTATTTTCTCAGTGTGATACCGTTTCAAATGCATTAGTTGGATTACAGTTCGGTCCTCAATGGGCCCAATATTCATCTTTTTTACTTCTAAGTCTCTCCTACATAAGATAAAACCACTTCTCAGGATTTTCTTTGCGGGAACATTGTTCTTAAGTACCAAATATGATACCAACCAAAAATCATCAAAATCGGTCTATATCTTCTATGTGATGATCAGAACTTTTCGATACCCCCTCGTATTTCGAAACATTCTTCAAAGATATGTCTGAATTGTGAGTTTAGGAGATGCTTTTTACAAAATGCAGTATGCTGAAATCGACTAACCCGCGACTGGCGTTGAAAGCCGGCACCTTTTCCGTCTGCTTGCCTTCACCCGTCAGTCCATATGGAAACAGCACGTCCGCGTCCCTCGTGTACGCCATCATCAGGTCAAAGTAGCCTACCAGTTTCCGGAGCGGGAGGCGCGACGGAGTCTGCGGCGGAGCCTCGCGCCAGACTAGCACATAGGGCTTGTGTGGCCGTTTCCGGCTAGGTAGATTGCTCATATTTATTCTGTGTCCATGGATGACAACTGCGTCAGCAATCGACAGCAGCTTACGATCTGAGGTGGCTGAACAGCTGCTCACAGGGCAGCCGGAAAATGACGAGTTGTTCACATGGAAGTAGAAGCCAGGCTGCTCTGTCCAGTGAAGAACAAGCAGTGGTTTCTTAGGATCTTGTGCTAGATGATTTTGGCTCACCCCGCTTGTGAGATAAGGTGATCGTCTCTGAGGAAAGTGTATTTGCCGCGCTTGAATCGTTTTCTCAACGGTACTAAGGTTGAGTGTATGCGAGACATTATTTATAGGTGGCTTACGAATGAGAATAAAGTGAAGCCAGAGGAATACTGTCAAGAGGAGGATAGTTACCAAAAACAGGCTCCGAACTTCTCTTGACGTGCAGACGGGGACACACCTGAAACGAAATAAATGCATTTTATGTAGATCGTCGTTCACAGCTAATTGATCCCCCTCCGACCCCCCCTCCCCCCCAGCAGGGCGTGGGAATACATGGTCTCCAACGGGGCGCGGAATAACTTGGCCTACAAAGGTCAACTTGAAAACGGATTCCAGGTTCAAAGTCGTGACCTAACCTGGAAAGGCCACATTGCGTATCAGTCAAGCCGTATCGTAAAGCTGAACACATTCAAGTTGTTTTCATCGCTAAGAACGTCCGTATCAAAAATATCAGTCGAGCCATATCGTAAAGCTGAACACATTCAAGTTGTTTTCATCACTAAGAACGTCCGTATCAAAAGTTGTCGAAAAACTGCTGAAAACCTTTTATACTTTAGGGACATGATGAGGGGTCACAGATGTAATTCTTGCGAATTGCATATTTCACGTCTACCTGCAAAATGATGTCTGGAGTGCTCAGATTGACTTCCGTTCAAAAGAAGCGCAGTTCAATTTTCTCTCATCGACCTACAGAAAGATTGCGCAACCCTGAAACGTGCCAGGCCTCAACTTTTATAGATAACGATGTTCTAACTGTAATGAAAAGAAAAATGTAAAAGATCTTACCCTGACATCCTGTGTTTTAACAAGAGCTTCGTTGTTGTGACATCCGTTCAACAGTTCTTGTTTCTTTGTGGTATGCTCTTTGCAGTGCTGCAAAAAAAAAAACGATCAGACTTAATTCTTCACCTCTCGAGGATTTCAAAAACATTATGATAAGTGTATGTGTATATGCATTGCTTAGGTTTGAGAAAGGCAGCATCCTCACAAAATGACGCATATAACATTTGTTTCAACCCGGATATGTAAACACCAACCGCGTTTTCATAAGTGAAAGTCTGTACGGCCTTAATGACAACTTTGCCCTCGGTGCCAGAGGGGTTTCTACAGAGAAATGAAGTTACAGGACTCAGTAACACCCGAGGCCTGTATAGCTCGGATTTTTTAGGGTCACCTGACTGGTCGGTTACGTGACTTCACCATCATCGGTCAGTGGGGAACTCTGGAATCTATTGTTTTGGCGACGGAAATATGTAATATAAGACTACCACAGTGACTAGAGTTGCAAAATTTCCCTACCGCACTACCGGCATGCCGGTAATTTTTCACTACCGCAGGTTTTTTCGTGGTATTTGGCATATCCTGCCGGTAGCATGCCGGTATTTTTAATTTTGCACCAAAAAAAAAAAAATTATCAGCATATGATTCAAACTTTGGACACTAAGAGGCTATTGAATTGTAATAACAGCAATCTTAGCCACTGCAAAATACATTTTGTGGTAGAAGTTCCATTGCTAAGGGTAATTGTACACATGAACCTCAGCATTTCACAGGTTTGGCTCTAATAAGAATTGTCAAGAATCTACTGTGGTCTATCAAAGGAAGAATACTCATTCATGTTGCAAAAGCGCAACCAATTAGTAAGTCTAATGGTAGGTAATAGGCCCGTAATAGGTAAAATACAATAAAATAAATTAATGTTAATGGCAACATTCCCTAGGCAAAAGGCAGAATCAAAACAACGCAAAACACATTGTTTGGAAACTGGCCTTGAGTCTTGAGATGTGGTCCGAGATACTCTACAAAGAATTTGACACTGAAAATCCAGCTGAAAAGGCAGGTGTTAGGAAGCCCTGAGCCTAAATTAGGTCCCAAAATGAAATGAAAATGAATTAAACTGGCATTTTGTCTTATCTTTACAAGAAAACACAACATGCAGGCCAAATGAATACAAAGTGGCGCAATATGATCAGCTGATCAAGCAACCAAGGATTGACTTTTAAGATCCTCTGTCCCCTAAAAAAAAAAAGGATGTAAGCTGATGACGTAATATTTATTCATATGCCCTTTTGGTTGAATTACTCAAGAGAAGTGGATTTTCTTGTAGTCAATGACACTCACAGTGTTGATTTTATTGGATTTTAATATCGTGTTGGATGATTTTTATCAAAAAAATCATTCACGAGGCAGTAGTTTGCAGTCCTAAAACTTTTTTTGCAGTGTTTTAATCAGCTGGTTAAAAACTGTGTTATGGCGCATCTGTTTCGATCCTTTATAACCTTGTGTTTGTTCCCGCGTTTGAGATGGGAGAGGATGTTATATCGTTTTTATACATATTATTTGGTGACTTCTCAGGACAAGTGAGTCCTGTGAGAGACAAGTGAGCACATATTTTTACATGATTCGTATCTTACTCACGAGCCGGCAAGCCACACTCAAAGAAATATTTACCCTAAAAATATGGGTATTTCACGAGTACCAAATCGGTACTATATTTACGGGTCCTTTAACGCAGAGAAAACGTTTATATCTACTCAGTCAGTGTTAGACTACCTAAACTGATTGTATCACAAGACCTACTTTATTGTGTACATACCAGCTATTCTTAGCTATCTTTACCTAAAAAATCCGGGTTTTTTCACGAGTACCAAATCGGTACTAGTTTTACGGGTTATCCTACCTCCAGAAAACGAGTATCAATACCCTTCATTGTTTCGCATGAACTATTATTACGTACAAATACCAGTGATTCTAGGGTATTACTAGCCACAAAATCCGGGTATTTTTGGAGTACCAAATCGGTACTACATTTACGGGTTATCCTACGCCGAGAAAACAGGTAGCTCAACCCTTTTGCGTCAAAATACCGAATTTATTTGTGTCACATGACCTTCTCACACGCATACGTACCGAATTTGTTTGTGTCACATAACCTGCTCACACGTATACGTACCAGTGATTCTTTGGTATTGTTACCTTTAAAGCCTTAAACTTATCCGAAAGTTATAAGGTACTTTAAAGGTAGACTGCCACCTTTTTTCCACAAAACGGTTTTCACTAGAGCTGAGCCACCTATGTCCCAGACTGAAGTCGGTTTTCCGAAATTCGAACCCGTTTGCGAGAAATCGGAGACCAAAGTTCAGTTTGATGCCATTTTTTAGTCCAAGAAAACCGACATCTCTACTGTTTATCGATAACTTTGAAACATGAATTTTCTTATCTTTTGGTAAATATATGTCAAAACTTTGATTGTTTCGAGATCAGAGAAGAATTTTGGAGTGTCAAAATAAAAGTTAAACTTATATATTCAGTGGTTCCTTTTTTCCAAAAAAGTGTGGGAAATGGGGTTTAACATGGGCCAGACCCATTCCAAATGAGCCATGATTTTTTTAATGTTTTACGAACTTAAATGCAAAATAAATTAAACATGGCCAATTTCTCATGAAATCATATATTAGTAAATCATAAAATACCTTATTTTTTCAAATAAAATGTAATAATCTTATGACCTTGAAGTCTAGTGATGTGTAAACATTGTCGCTAGACATTAACCGATTGATAATTGTATGAAAATCGACAATTTTTTTTCGCGATTCACGTGATGATACTTTGTCAGGTGAATTCTAAAATTTTGTTTTGTCCAGGGAATAAATCATAGGCCGATCTGAGAAAACTTTTTGAAGGTGGCAGTCTTCCTTTAACACCATGCTTTATTTGTGCTACACTTGTCGCAGTTTGCTATAAATAGAACAAAACAATGATATGTAAAACGGAGTTCGCTTGTTTATTGGGTTCCAACGAGATGGACAGAACCGGATGAAGATCATCGATTTAATTAGGAAACATGTCATGACAAACAAATAATCAGATTTTTCGCACGATGTGGACGCAGTCCCTTCCCGCCTACGGCTGTCGTCAGCTGGCGGTCAACCGACCGGTGAGCATTGCCCCGTCCCGTAATGCAAGGTCTATACTCCCATTCGTACCTGTAACACCGCGTACGACACTCCACTTTTATGGCGCAATGCGCGATACCCGACGGCCCTGGCAGTTAGCTTGTTCGGTCGTCGATCCCCATATTTGTCGGCCGGTTCAGGTTGTCCTGACGCTGGTGCCCTTGCACAACACGATCCACCACCACACTCGCCCGGGAAAGAAAGTCACGTAGCTCACTTCCACAATAAACCGCGTGAAACGCGAACAGCACTCGCCGTGCGGCTCCCAGCCTCTACACACACCCACCACGCCGGCAACGGCGGTTCAAACTGGCTCATACTGAAAGCGTGCGCGCCAAACACAAAACGCGGAACGATGATTGGTGGAGAGGAACACCCTTCTGCGCATGCGCGACCTAGGCCACGCCCCCTGTTAAAATTACTCACAAAAGGTAAATCTACCTTTAAAAAATAAGGAGTCAGAAAACCACATTTAAGTACTTATACACCCTTACGAGTTGATGCATGTTACAGGTACCTGTTTTTCAATAACAAGTAGTAGAAAAACATGCTGGTAGAGTAGCCCTACACCACCGATTCTGGTTTGTTAGATAGATGTACCATCTCTTCTGAGTAATGGTACCCGAATCTGCATGGTACTGTAAACCCATATCAGGTACATTTGCTACAATGTGTGTAAAAAGAACCATAGGTGTACAGGAACCCAAAATAAATGGTGTATATTTATTTCTGTCCGAGTTTTAATATCCGGAGAAATCGGGATACCGGTACCCATAAGTGTAAAATTACCCGTAGAGGGGTAAATTTTTCTCTGTGTGCATGGCGGATAGGAAAAAGCAGATGTTGATCTCGCTTCCTCAGTTAGGAACATGGCCAAATCTGTAGTTTTTTTATAATGTGATTTATGACTAGCTATAGCTCATTTTAGGGTAATGTGGAAAATAAGAACGCTTGTGGTAAATGTGATTGCTGCTCACTGTGCAGTCTTCAGGAACACATTTCAGTAATTCAAGTTCTTTTTGACCTTGCTTTTTTGATGAATGTGTGTAGGCTTTTTGTAGGCAATACCTCTTTGATTACAGGTGATATTTTAACAGCTGTAAACTGGAATTGAGTTTCAAAATTGTGGTATTTGTGGGGCCAACTCAGCCAAAATCAGGCTGCTGGAGTTTTGGTTGGACAATGGGTGGCTGCTGGGTGGGGCGGTAACTGAAATTGCCATAATGTGGCATCTCATGCAGGGGTAAGCCAGAATCAAGAATGCAGGTTTTTTAGTATGCCGGTAATTTGGTGGTGTTTTTGCTTGGGGCGTGGTAGCATGCCGGTATCCCAGAAAATTTTTGTGGGGCGGGGCGGTGCCGGTAGCAGCCCATAGGGAAAACTTTGCAACTCTAACAGTGACATGGAATCGTGAGGCCATACAATCCTTGCAGGGTCCGATGCTTAACGTTTACATTGTTTACCTTGCGTGAGGTTATATATGACATCTCCATAGTTCATCGAAGTTTAACGTCAATAACTCGCGATCGAACTTATCTAGCGAGTTGGGAAAGCTTCCAATAGACTCAAAAAGACTGCAAAATCAAATGTTATGTGATTTTTTCTTCCACAAGCTCGTGATCTAAGAAGCTGTGACCTTAGACCAACACCCTTAGTTGACCTCACCAAAACAAAAAGTACCGATCATTTGAGGCCCCTGAGCATGGCGGATACAGGCACCTCTGCGGCCATTTTTGGCGAAGTTATTCACCAAATATCAAATCCAATCTTGGGTTACTTGACCTGACCTCAGAGGTCACCGATTCGCCCCCCCCCCCCTCAGATCTCGGAAAGCTACCGACCGATTTTGAAAATTCAAACGGTGCATTCGGTAACGCCACCAGAGAACTACCTCGTGACCGCGTTTCGTTGACCT